ACCTCATAGGGGCAGCACAGTGGCTAAATGGTTAGCACTTCCACCTGACAGCACTAGGGTCATTGGTTCAAATCCCAACCACAGCACCACCTGCCTGGAGTTTGCATGTTCTCCCTGTACCTGCATGGGTTTCCTCCAGGTACTCCAGTTTCCTCTTCACTCCAAAGACATGCTGGTAGGTTAATTGGATCCTGTCTAAATCGGCCCTAGTATGTGTATGAATGTAATTTAGGGACCTTAGGCTGTATGCCCCTTGAGGGTTAGGGACTGACATGAATGTACAATATGTATGTAAAGCACTGCATAAATTGACAGCACTATATAAGTACCTGTAATAAAAAAATAGAAGTACTCAGACATTTCTTACAACCACCACTAAGATTTAAAGCTGCTTTGGAAGTTTGGTTGTGACTGGAGAAGCAAGAAGAAGAGTGAGAAAGTTATACAGCAAATGCTTCAGAAAATGTCCCTGTGAGGTGGCCTGCGATTTCTGGATGCACTGAATTATGCAGATTAATAAAAATGATGAATGGTCCTATTTTAGCACAGCTGCATTGTGTGCTGGAAGTCCTTGCTGTCACTCCTACCCAATACTTGCCCGGCTATCATGGACAATGCTTCCAGTGGAGTAAGCTTTGTATGGCCACTGTAAGACTGGGGCTGTGAGATTTTAATGTATTGAAAAAGTTTTAGCTCCTTTTTATAATTGCTTTACCTGTAATACATTAATTAGGCAGTTGTTAGCCGAATGTCACATAGAACCCCATCCATAGCCTGATTGGGCAAAATGCTAAAAACAAAACATATTTATCAGTGACTAAGACTCAAGTGATCACAGTTTTCCTTCTGCTTCTTCCAAAAGATGACACATCTACAACTCAACCTCAATTTTATCTCTTTGTGCAGAAATTAGCCAAGTGATAAGATAACAGAGAAAACCTAGCTCTAGGGTTGAGTGAAAGTATGAAACAGCAACAGATTCAGAGATGCAATTAAAAGGTATCATCTCTCCATTAACGGATTAAGCCTTTGGGACAGATTGGCTGCTTAACTTGGATAGTTAGTAAATCACTAAAAGTGCAGGTCGTAACATGTGAGGAGAGACTCTCTGCCAGTTTTGTAAAATACTTTTCCAGAAACATTCTTTAAAGCTGAACCACAGGCAAACAGCTAATTACACAAATGTAATACAGGTAATATATAGAAGCAACTGTATTCTCTAAAAGAATGAGTATTTCTGTCCATCCAGTTCTGATATTTACACAGTTCTGCCAGTCTGGCAGGGCAGGAGACTTGATTCTTCTCTGTTGCAGTTAATTTACACTTACAGGACTTGTCCTTCCTCCAGCCAGGACACAGAAATGGAAAGCAATGGACTGATGAGCTTGTCACTCTGTCACTCTGCTATCTCCTCCTATCAGCATGCTCACTGTTAGTGCATGAGCCCCGAAACACAACCGAATGGCTGCTTGTGCTGCTTCTCCCTCTCCCAGTCTGAGCTTAACTGTACAGTGGGTGCAAGAGGCTAATGCCAAGTCAAATGCAGGTATGTTTGTAGCAAACGTGCACACAGAGATGGATGTGAACCTCCATTTTGGGCAAAGGATCTTCCATCTTGTATCATGTCTACTCCCAACTCAGGTTTCCTCCTCCAATTTCCCCCCTCCCTCAGGAATGTGGTCTGTGTTAAAAAGGCAACAGGCCCCAGTGGGAGAGCACCAGAGCTATAAACTTCCAACCGAGCTGGGGCCTAGATGTCTGTTAACTTCTCAATCTGGGATATCGTAAAGCCATAAACCAAGTCCTTCACTGAGCTCAAAGGCATTCCAGGTAGTCGTAAAAACAGACTTACAATTAAAAACTCACATTTCCATATAATTTTATATCTTCAAATAGGACATAATTACATAAACATGGAGCACATATTCTGACCGCTCAATTTAAGACAAGTCGCCTGGTATATTACACCCCCTAGCTGGCATATACAGGAGAGCAGAAAATTATATCTCCTGAACCATTCAAGCAGATATGTCATTTCATATCTAACCGTTCAGCAGATGCGTCTACATATTAATCTACTAGTGGCAAGGCTGCTAAATGCACCGAGAATAAGTTATGAACCATGACATCAACTGTGAGAGTTTTGGTTATAGCCTGAGCTCCCCACCTACACAACCCCCTCCCCAAATGAGGCGATTGGTTCTCTGCTTCAGGGAGACACCCTGTGGAGTTCCTAGAAAAAGCTAAGCTAAGCTGAGTTGAAAAAAGTTGAAGAATCTCCCTTTTTAACATCGGAACTAACTTTGGGAGATAAAGCGTCCTTTTAGCTCATGAAACCTGATCTGCTTAAACCAGAACGTTTGGCAAATACTTTACCTCCCTAAATTCCTTTCTGTTATCTCTTTGCTGTGCTATTGTTCTTTGTATATTTATATATATTGGCTACATCTTTTTCGTGTAAATATTTTTATTGCACCCTTTTGACCTTTTAGTAATAAATCTTACTTTCTGAAAGTGTTGAACTGTTTCTAAAGCTCTTTAATGCAAACTAAGAATCCCTGCCTCTGGAAAGCGCTACTGTGTGTGTGTTTTAAACTTCGGTATATCTCTGCCTGCTGTGACAGTGGTATACTGACGATTATTCAAACATCATAGCGCTATTGCTGATATTGACAAGTTTCCTCTTTCTCTGTACAAAAAGGTGGTGGTGGCAGTGTGAAGGGTTAATTGCGTAATTAACCTGACCCAGTAACAATCCCTGGATGACGGCACACAGGTTGTGGTCCATTAGCTGGAAAATCTTTGTGTATAGTGCAGCTGGGTGTGGCATTGTCACACATGTGACAGCACAATTTTAGATTGGCTAGTCCTTTGGTCACAAGTTTGATGAGAAGGGCTGGGGTCTGACGCCGCGATTATCACAATGTTCACTGCCTGGTCACACCGGGTGCAACTTGGCATACGATTTGCCATGCCATGCAACTTGCAAATCGCATGGCAAGTCGTACCCTATTGTCCGCAATTACAGCGGTAATATTGGTGTGATTCTGACTTGGTCGGAGCTTCACCTATTTCCTAAGTAGTGAATGCACTACTGTAGGTGCGACTTGCATAGACATATGTGTCTTGAAAGCCGCAGATGTCTTGCAAGCAGGGACGGACTGACAAATCATGGGGCCCCCGGGCAATAGGGGATCATGGGGCCCTTGTGTCCTTGCCCACACGCAAAGCACACCCAAAAAAGCCTATAAAAAGGTACCAGGGGTATTTCATGGGGCCCCCTAATGACTTCGGGCCCTCGGGCAAGTTGGATCGGTATGACCAGGGTGTAAATGTACAAATGCATTGTACCAATTTACTGAAAAATATCAGTTCACTATTTTTACTAGTTTACTCTTACAGAGGAGCCAATTTACTTTTTTTTTGCTTTCACTTTACTTACAGTTAAATCGATAATAAACCCACAACCAACAACATGACATATTGCAGCTAACCAATCGTTAGATGTGGTGGCTGCATTAGTTTTTTCTTTTTAGGCTTTTCCCTTCTGTTTTCACCTGAGGATCTAGCCAATAATATATTTCCTGCATTGGAGTGCCACCACTCTGGATGAAGGAGCACGGGGCATGTTTGGACAGCAGCTTTGTTAGTTGGTGGGGAGTGGCGTGTTAGATGTTGATGGGGAAATTGCATATTATATTACATATTTCTTTATTAATATTGTGCCTCACTAATAAATTTGAAGCCTCCAATATCCTGGTTACCTTAGCAGGCTATAGAAATGCAATTGTAAACTGACTATATGGACAAGCCAACCCATTTATCTCCTGTCAGGAATGTATCATTTTACATAGAAGGTCATACTGCTCCAAGGAGGATGGGTTTGGTTCAGGGGCGGACTGACCATTTGGAAATTCGGGCACTGCCCGAGGGCCCGGGGTCAGTAGGGGGCCCCATGAGATGCTCCTGGTACCTTTTTAATAGGCTTTTTGAGTTTGGGCAAGGACACAGGGGCCCCATGATCCCCTATTGCCCAGGGGCCCCATGAGTTGTCAGTCCGCCCCTGGTTGGGTTACACACAGCTTGTAATAACTGTCTCGCGTCAGAGCTGCGTTATGCACACATCTGTTCTGATCATCGGTCATGCCATCATGGAGGGACCCATTGTGGAAACAACATCTTTAGTTAAGTATCATTATTATATTTTCTAATATTTGTTATCTGGATTTGTCATTACTTAATAAAATGATATACTAAACTAAATCTAAACTAAATCTTCTAAATTTCTAGGTGTAACCCAGCATGATGAGCTCTCCTTTTGGCCCCACATCCAATCAATGTCCAAAGCTTGCTACCTCAACCTCCACAACATCTCCAAAATACGCCCCTTCCTAACCAATGACACCACAAAGCTCCTAGTACACTCCCAGGTTATCTCTCGCCTCAACTACTACAACTCCCTCCTCATTGGCTTACCTTTATAAAGGCTATCCCCCCTTCAGTCTATCATGAATGCTGACTGATCCACCTTACCAACCATTCAGTATCTGCTACTCCTCTCTGCCAATCTCTCCACTGGTTTTCGCTCATCTAATGAATCAAATTCAAAATAATAACAACTTAGAAATCCATCCACAACTCGGCCCCCAGCTACATCACTTACCTAGTCTACAAAAACCGGCCTAATGATTCTCTTTGTTCCTCCCTTTTCACCTCCTCCCATGCTCATCTCCAGGACGTCTCCTGAGCCTTTCCCATCCTATGGAACTCCCTACCCCAATCTGTCTATCTCCTAGTCTGTCCACTTTAACCGCCTCCCACCCGCCATATAAGGAAATGACGGGCGCAAGGTGATTCTCTCATTCTGGGGTTCTCTCATTCTCTTATCCCCCGGGGCGCTCAGCGCGGTGATCACTGGTGCGCTGTGTCCCTGGGACTCGGCAGATCACCGATCAGCAGAAAGAGCAGATGACTTCGGCTCTGTCATGTGATCAGCTGTGTCCAATCACAGCTGATCACATGTAAATAAGGAAATGCCAGTTATCGGCATTCCTCTCCTCATGAGCTGTAACACTGACAGCTCGTGAGGAGAGGAGAGCTGGTAATCAGCATTCCTCAGAGGGGACATGTACACTGATCATCAGGGCACTGATGATCAGTGTTGCCCCACCTGTCAGTGTCTATCAATGCCACCTGTCATTGCCCATCAATGCCACCTGTCAGTGCCCATCAGTGCACATCAATGCCACATATTAGTACCTACCAGTGCACATCAATGCCACATATCAGTGCCCATCTGAGCTGCCTTTCAGTGCCAACTATCAGTGCCAGTCAGTGCCACATATCAGTGCCAGTCAGTGCCGCCTATGAGTGCTGCCTATCAGTGCCGCCTATCAGTGCCAGGCAGTGCTGCCTATCAGTGCCACCTAACAGTTCCAGTCAGTGCCACCTAACAGTGCCAGTCAGTGCTGCCTATCAGTGCCAGTCAGTGCTGCCTATCAGTGCCATATATGAGTACTGCCTTTCAGTGCCCATCAGTGATGTCTGTGAATGCCCACCAGCGATGCCTGTCAATGCCCATCAGTGCCACCTACCAGTGCCTCCTCATCAGTGCCGGTCAGTGCCACCTATCCGTGCCCATCAGTGCAGCCTATCAGTGCCCATCACTGCAGCCTCATTAGCGCACATCAGTGAAGGAGAACAATTACTCATTTACAAATTTTCATAACTGAAACTAAGAAAAAACTTTTTTTTTCAAAATTTTCAGTTGTTTTTGGTTTGTTTATCAAAAAATAAAAAACCCAGAGGTGATTAAATACCACCAAAAGAAAGCTCTATCTGTCTCAAAACAAATGATAAAAATTTCATATGGGTACAGTGTTGCATGACCGCGCAATTGTCATTTAAAGTGCGACAGCGCTGAAAGCTGAAAATTGACCTGGGCATGAAGGGGGTATGAGTGCCATGCAGGCTAGTGGTTAAATGATCCCTGAAAGCCCATCTCTTCACAGAGGCATACTCTGCCCCCCCCCCGCCTAACAACTGTACTTATATTTTCCCCATCAGCTCATCCCCCACAGTTATTAACCTTTGTATCTCCTGACCCTCCCTCTTAGATTGTAAGCTCTAATGAACAGGTTTATGTTGTAAAGTGCTGCGTAAACTGTTGGCGCTAAATAAATCCTGTATAATAATAATTTCAAACTAAAATTGTTTACAAAGTCAACACATTTCAGGGGTTGAACTCCACCACCTTCAGGGCTTTAAGGAAATTAATTGAAACAATGTAATAATGTATGTGGACTCAAACATCAATGTATAGTAGGATGATATGATAGCAGCTGGCTCTAGCATCACAACCCACGGTGACCTTGGAAGGCCTTCATTGTGTGGAACATGCCACCCATGTATTTACGTACATCTCCATCATTACACCACCACCATGCTGTTGCCATTAACAATATTACAAAACAAATACATAATAAAACCCCAGGGTTCCATCGCCATTAACCCACCTTCTCAAGAAATAAAAACATGACAGATGTTCTAATTCTTTTTATTTAATTCAAAACAAGAAAATAGGTTTAATTTAACCCACATTTATTGAAGTGAAAACGTAATTGCTAAGTCCAGTAGAAGACAAATCTTTCTATGAGGAACAGGTTGGGTAGGCTTCCCCTTATTTATATATTTGCACAATTCTATAAAATAGTTTTGTGGGAATGAAGTCCGACAAACACATTTCTCTGTTTTTCTTTTAGCTATCAGTACATTCTTTTCTGAGTAATTCATTTCTGAATTCTGCATCAGCAAGACACTGTATTCTCTTTGTTTGAGCTGCTGACTCAAAGATAACATTCATATTTCACGATACCCAAGCTACTTTGGCTGACAAAAAATGTTTTTTTTCATTTTGAGGTTTGCTTAACGTCGTTTTTAAAAGATATTAAAGCCACAACTGCAGCCATCAGTTCAAGCTGAACAATTAACAATACAAAAAACAAAAAAAAACCAAACAGCTGATTTTGAGTCTTTGAGGGTGGTCTTCATTTACCCAATGTATATAAAAAGCAGAAGGACCTTTCAGTTACTTGTGTCTTAAATCAATCAACAGATTATTTAAATAAAAATTATTATTTTATGGTGGTTTTAATTAAAATAATAATAAAAAACAGACTCATGCTCGGTATATCACTATATTAAAGCCATTTCCTAGGGAACTCCATCACCAAATCATAATGCTTGTTGGACATATTTGCTGAGTCTTAATTACAGATTATGCATATTGCAACATCATCCATCCACAGAACGATTGATAGAGTGTTCAGTTATTGGTATGCACAGAATATCTTTCACCTCTCATTCTCTTGAGGAAGTAGATACTTGGCTCAAAAAACACATAGAGATAGGATCCATAGGCCAAGGGTCTAGCTCCTCAGGAGAATGTAAGGTGAAGAGTATTCTGTGTGTACCAATATGCTATCAGCAATTTATAAACAGATGAATATTGTTCAAGTTGAAAAGGCTCATATACAGGTTACCCAAGGCATGATACACAGTAAAATCACAACTATACAAGATACGGTCCCCATACATCTTAACATCTGGTAACCATGTGTAGATCATTTTCTTCCACCCGATTTTGATGATTCTCTACTTGAACCCTAATCTCCTACCTCCCACCGCAAATGTGATTGAGTTTGGGCACGTTGACCTCTCCCTCTTTCTCCTTCTTCCTTCTCTCCTTCCAACTTTCCTTTTCTCCTTTTTATCTTCACCTACTTGAGCATGATTTTTGAGTTTTGTTCAAGAATATTTAATGTCCTCAACTCTTGCAACCATTATGTTCCTTGCTCTACTGATGTCTGTTATATTATGCCTTTGAGGCTTACTGCCTATACTCTACACATCTGCATTTAATAGGCTACTTACTCTTCAATATTTTCTATATCAATATTTTTTTTTCAATATTTTTTGTACAACCACTATCTGGATAACCCAATATGAATGTATGTTTTGCAACAATGTGACCATGCATACTTTGTATTCTGTTTAACGATAGGAGAATTGAACAAGAAAAGGCTTATATGATACCAGAGAAAATGTAGGGTATCAAAGGAGGAGGGTCAACCTCTTTACACTAAATTAATCCACATACAGGGATTAGAGCCCATCTAGGACTAGCAATATAGTGATCCCAAAGTATTCATCTCTCCAATGCCCTTCCTAATGTCTATAGTAAGTTCTAGTAGTAGTAGTAGTCCTAGGTTAGGTGAGCCTTCTAATGACCACAGTATAGGCTTCTAAAAATGATCAATATTTCAAAAAGCCTTGAGAAATCTTTACAAAGTCCTGTGCTCCACATATGGGTCACATGACCACCTACACTGACCACCAATGATTGTGGGATTGTTTAGGGGAAGGGGAGGCTTTAAAATGTAACTGACTGCAATAGTGTGTGTATCACTACCCCCTGAAGGGTTGCTTAGTTATTTTTGGGTTCCCTGTCAATCTGAGCCTCTTGTCGATAGCCCAACCTCTGCTGACACCACCGTGCTCCCGTGACCAAAGTAAATCACAACTGTAAAATGGACTCACACACAAGTTAGTATAGACCAATATGAAATTTATATTGGAATTAAAGGTAACTTGGTCAAAAAGAACAAAATGAATTGATATATACAGCAAATATAATCACTCTTGGTAAGTGTGAGCAAAAGTAACGACATTCACCATACTGCAACAATAACTGTTGGCAGGCCTGTTTTCAGAAATAATCCACTTCCCTCCAATCTGAGGTGACTACTGAATCCCCCATGAGCATAAAATGACTAGCAGGAAACAGGTCAGAACTAGATGACAAAGATTAGATGTGAAGAAAAGAGAATTCTCATTTGAAATTAAGCACTGTTTCTTTAATAACACTACAGTGTCTTCTGCGTGCTCGTTGGTGTCCAGTTGGTATGAAGTTGAGTTGAGATGTGCAATATAGTTCCTTGAGATGGTGACAAAAAGATAGTAAAGGAACAAAGGAGACTTAACATTTTCCCTCTTGATGGTAGCAAATTAAGGTGGGGTCCCCTAAAGCACTAAGTACTGGGCAGGCTTGAAGTAATGGATAGCAACAATTGGCATAAATGTCTATAGGCAAAGGCAGCTCCCTCTGTACATCAAAGGCAAAAATAAATAGTAATGGAATTCCCGCTTTATTAAAGAAGGGAAACTTGTTTCAGTTGGCACTGCTGTATTCTGGCATGCAACTGTATGTCCTGTGGTCAGCTTGTGCAATAAACTGTAATTTGAATGTATCTCAATAATGGCGGCTTCAGCTTGAGGCAACTATATGTAGTGTTCAAAGCCATGTATAGATAGATAGCTGGGGTGGCAAACTGCCAGTATTCACTTGGTTAGTGGGTGCATGGGTCTATCTCACCTGATCAGAGTAGTTAAGCAGATCGTAGCAGCCTGTCTTTTCCCTGCAGATGGTGTTGGTCCACAGTCTCTCTCATGACCTGGTGTCCGGTCTGGTCTCCTGCTGTCAGATTGGCCTGCTGGGCAGCATGGCAGATTGGGTGGTCAGTAGGCTCTGTCCACTCTTTCTTTCTCTCCAACCCTGGCTCTGAAGCCTGGTTCAATGCTACACCCGTCAGCACTTATCCTTCTCCTTCAGTCTCTCCCCGCACTCTCTTAGCCAATCTCCCGGGCTTTGATGTTGATATGCCCCTGCCCACACGCTACCTCTCTGGGAAAATGTAGTCCCTGCTCACCTATACAGTTCCAGAGGGCTGTTCTGTCCATGTAAGTGACCTTGAATGGCCAACCACCGACATCTACAGTCTATTTTAATGTATTGTAAGTAATACCATTTCAATGGGTTACATGTGTAATTGTTTGGGGGATGGGAGGAATTAAAGTGCCCCTAACCACAAATGATGTGGGTTTTAAAATGATACTGACCACTAATAATTATGGGATTGTTTTGGAGGTGTTTTAACATGTCACCAACAAATATTTGTGGAATTGTTTGGGGGGCATTTAAAGTGTTATGAGGTAGTCCATGACATTAAGCCATTGCACGCAATTTCTCCGTACAAGGAACTTATGCTAACAATGGAAGGCTTGCAGTTGGCTTCAGTGGGTGACTTTTAAAGGCTAAAATTACCTCAATTTATTTTTTTAACAACCTCAGTACCAGCATGTTTCTTTTATTTCCAAAAAATCACTTTGGTGTGTCCACTTTCTAAAAAGGGTCATTTTGAAGGTGTTCTTACTGACATAGTTACATAGTTAGTTTGGCTGAAAAAAGACAAAAGTCCATACAGCTCAACCACAGAAAAAAAAAAGTTATAA